AAAAAAAAAAAAAAAAAAAAAAAAAAAACAAAACAGAAAATAAATGTTGGCAAGAATGTTGGAGAAATTGGAACCCTTTTACACTGTTTTTGGGAATGTAAAATGGTACAGCCACTCTGGAAAACAGCGTGGCACGTCCTCAAAAAATTATAAATAGAATTACCATATGATCCAACAATTCCACTTCTGGGTATACACTCAAATTGAAAGGAAGGTCTTGAAGAGATATTCGTACACCCATGTTCATAGCAGCATTTTTCACAATAGCCAAAATGTGAAAACAACGAACAGCCCATTGACAAATGAACAGACAAGCCAAGTGTATGTATATACCTATACACACACAATGGAATATCACTCAGCCTTAAAAAGGATGGACAATCTGACACAAGATACAACATGGATGAACCTTAAGGACATTATGTTAAGTAAAATAAGCCAGTCACCAAAAGGCAAATATGAGGTAGACAGAGTAGTCAAAGTCATAGTGACAAGTAGAATGGTAGTAGCCGAGAGCTGGAGGAAGGGAGAAAGGGGAGTTTCATGGGTACAGTTTCAGATTTTCAAGATGGAAAGAGTTACAAAGATGAAGGGTGGTAATGGGTACACAGCATTATGAATATAATACTGCTGACCAGTACACTTAAAAATGGTTGAGGTAGTAAATTTACATATATTTTACCACAATAAAAATATTGCAAATTTTTGTTTGTTTGTTTGAGACAGAGTCTCTGTCACCCAGGCTGGAGTGCAGTGGCGAAATCTCAGCTCACTGCAACCTCCACCTCCAGCCTCCCAAGTAGCTGGGACTACAGGCACCTGCCAATACGTCCAGCTAATTTTTGTATTTTTAGTAGAGGTGGGGTTTCACCATGTTGGCCAGGCTGGTCTCGAAATCCTGACCTCAAGTGATCCATGTGCCTCAGCCTCCCAAAGTGTTGGGATTACAGGCTTAAGCCACAGTGTCCAGCCAAAAATAATACAAATTTTAAAAACCCTCTGGAAATAGACAGGGGTGATGGTTACACATTATGAATAATTAATGCTACAGAATTATATATTTTAAGATGGTTAAAATGGCAATTTTATATTTGTTTTAACACACACAATATATGTGTGTGCATATACATACATATACACTAAAACAACACATACATACACACAAACACATACCGCGCCCCCTCAGCTGCTATGTGAAGAACAGCCTGTAGGGGTAGGGGGTGGGCGCTGGGAGCCAGAGGGCAGAAGGGGCCGAGGCTGTGGCTGGGGTAGTGGTGATAGTGACTGCGGAGAGTCATGATAGATTCCTGGTGTATTTGGGTGGCTAACCAGACAGAATTCGATTGGATATGGGGGGTAGGAGATGGAGATAGGGAATTTTTCTGTTTGGGCCATGCCAAGTTGAAGGTGCCTGATGAATCTAAGACCCTGGCATGAAGCAGGCTGGTTGGGATGGAGACTTTTGTTTCATATTCACAAGCATATAATGATATTTAAAGTGCCATAGAAGAGATGTGTACAGAGAGAAGAGGTGCCAGGATCTGGGCTCCCCAACACTGAGAAGAACCCAGCAAAGGTGGCTGGCAAGGATAAGCAAAGAAGAGTAGAAAGGCCAGCAAGTGGAGGGCCAAGGGGTCCAGGAGGGGAGCATGTCTGGGCAGTAGTTGGGAGTCAACTGCCAAGAGCCCATCACAGGAGCTCTTGATGCCTCGCTGGGTGGAGCAACACAGAACAATCAGGCCAACAACTCATTTTTACCCCCACCATCATGGTATAAACATTTTCAAGCCTACAAAATTGTTGAAAGAATTGTAAGGAACACCCACAAAGCTACTCTCTGGATTTATGATGAACCCCTCCTCTCCTGGCTTTTCTGTCCATTTCTCCATCCATCTTTTTGTTGAATGTCCAAGTACATTGCATTGAGCCAGGCACGATGGCTCACACCTGTAATCCCAGCACTTTGAAAGGCAAAGGTGGGAGGATGGCTTGCGCCCAGGGATTTAAGACCAGCCTGGGCAACATGGCGAAACCCTGCCTCTACAAAAAAAAAAATACAAAAAATTGGGTATGGCGGTGCCATGCCTATAGTCCCAGCTACTCAGGGGGCTGAGGTGGGAGGACTACTTGAGCCTGGGAGGCAGAGGTTACAGTAAGCCATGATCATGCTGCTGCACATCAACCTGGGTAACAGAACCAGACCCTGTCTCAAAAAAACAAACAAACAAACAAAAAAAAACAGTACATTGCTGACATCAGTATACTTCCAACTAAGCACTTCACCAAGCATATCATTAACTAGAGTTCAGCATTTATGTAAGGTTTCTTTTTTTTTAGGTAAAGTTTACATATAATGCAATGTACAGAGATTAATTATTCCAGTTGGTAAGCTTTGAGAAGCGGTCTGCAGCTCAGCCCCATGTGGGTTGCAGGTCATCTGGAGTGACCATGAGAGTCATTTAGTGGGAGTTTAGGAGGCAAGGGCCAAGGACTTGCAGGCCAGGATGAAGGGGCTAGGAGGGCAGCAGAAGCCAGGGAGAAATGTGGGGAAGCTGGGGATGAGCCAAAGGGTCCTGGGGATTTTAAGGAGAAGTTGAGGCTAGTCCAAGGGCACACCTGGAGAGGGTGACTGGGGACTAAGAGAAGCGTGTATGGGGAGGGTGCAGGTGAGTTGGCAGGTCATGGACGGGGTGCGTTACAGGGTGCACTGGATCAGGCTGGGAGGGAGGGGAGGCTGTCTAGAGCAGTGTGGGAGGAGTTGAGAAATACTGGAGGCGGAGAGGCAGATGTGTTCAGGGATCAACAAGGGAATGGATTTCCTCCCTTTTGTGAAGATCCAAGCCAGTGAGGCCTTCTAGCCCCAAGAAGCGATTAGGTTCACCCTCCACTCCCCAGATCTTGACCTCAGATGCTGGGTAGGTTTCCAAGACCTTCCTCAGGACTCTGATAGATTGGCACAGGCCTCACCTGGCTGGTCCAGCTCTGGATCAGTGTGACTGTGCCCACTGGGATCCTGTGGTACCTGCTTCCTAAGCCTGAGGTCAGCCAGCTGACAGTTAAGGTGCTAGATGGGGCAGGTGACATGTCCATTGCTATAGCAGTGTGAGGATCCAGGCCAGGCCTGGCTCCCTCCCTCACAGCTGCCACCTTAGCTGCCCTTCTGCACATTGGCCTGTCCTTGTTATCTATGGGACATGGGGAGGTATGTTTCTCCAGCTGAGACCTGGCCAGTGACTCATAGCCCAGAAAGGCATATAGTTACACTAGTCAGTAGGGCCCTCCTAAGAACCTCTAGATTTGGCACCTGCAGGGAGGGCTCCTTTATGAGCTGTTTCTGTGATGTTTCAACTTGTGCCAAAATGGAAAACATGAATGCAGCATCAGGCGTGATGTCAGTGCTGAGTGATCTGAAACACTGAGTGCCTGCTCTCCCTGGTAGGGCTGGGGCTCTCCACAGGACAAAGGCTGACTGACGTCTGCAGCCCTCCTTTTCCTTGCTGCTGGGGAGTGAGGGGAGGGGAGTGGGAAGAGAACATGTGACTTCTGGGGGCTCTCAGAGCTTCCTGGTAGCCATGGAGTTGACAGTGAGGCAGACTCCACCCTGTGAGCATCCTTTGGGGCCAGATATGGCAAGCAAGGCTGGGTCCCACTCTTGAGGGTTGAGACACTCTTTGTAGCCAGTGTTCCTGCAAGGGAAGATGTAGAAGCTCTTCCCAGAGCTGCCCTCCTTGCTCCAGAGCCCATTGGAGGAATGTGCAGGGAGTGACCATTGCAGACAGATCACAGCTCCTCATTCAACTTAGGGTTCATACAGCCCCCAGCTTGGGCCCCAAGCCTCTGGATCCTTGGTAGCCAGTGCCACCTTAGCTGCCCTTCTGCACACTGAACAGTTTGAGTAAGGAAGCAGCTAAGAAAGACTCTTCTGAGGGAGAAAGTCCTCTCAGAGCCACAGAGCCCACAGGGCCCTGCCTTTCCAAGTCACTAGCAGACTCATGGCAGAGCAGGTGGCAGTGGCTCCCTGCAAAGCCTGTAGGAAGGCTTCCTGTAGCTTCTGCTTCCCCTACCCCTCAAACAACCTCTTGACCTTGTACTGCACTGAGCCTTCCCATCCTTGCTGCTATCCAGGCCCCTACTGGGCTAGGGTGCATAGGCTTCCATGGAGGTGCCTACCAATCCTTGGAGATGGCAAGATGGGCTTCCTTGCTGGCAAGAAGGATCAGCTTGATAGAAGCTAATGTCCAGCAGAGCTGTCCACCTTACGGTACCCCCAGGAAGGCTCCTGGGACATGAGGCTAATGGCTGCTGGCCTGTACATCTGCCCATGTGCCAGATCAGGGTCTTGGAGGTATTAGACAGCAGAACCCTAGCTGAGCCTTCTTGTCACACTGGTAGAAGCATAGCTCTTCTGATTCTGGTGGACAGTCAGCTTGGAGAGGCCTAGGAGCCACAGGGGGCCTTCTGGGCCCAACCTCCTGATGAGGAGGCATCACTGCGCAGCTAAGGAAGGCTCTAATCGTGCTGGTACTCAAGCCAGGGGAGTCTGCCACAGGACTATTCATGTATACCCAGGCTGGGTGAGCAGGTAGGTTGGGGTGCACGGCTATCATCTTTCTCCCTACCCCGTGGACAGCCTCCATCCCCTGGAAGATGGAGGGGGCCTTGTAGCAGATAGGAAGAGGCTGAGGTTGGGCTCCTTCCAGGAAACTCCTGGGGATCTGTGGGAGAGGCAGAGATGGGGAGGTCTCTTTGGCCTCAGAGAACTCCCTCAGCCAGTGTCCTCCTTAGGAGGTCTTGCATGCTGGGCCTGAGCCTGGGAGGGGCTGTGAGGAGGGTGCGGTCAAGGTTCCTCACCGTCTGGAAGAGGCTGGCTAGAAATAGCTGCACCCATCTGGGCGATGAGTCATTGAGGGGTGTTTCAGCCTTTTCTTGGAGAATTTCTATTTTAGGTGAGATGCCTGTGCCACAGCCTGGATAACTGGGGCTGGGGAAAGGAAAGTTCTGGCGGTAAGTGCAGGAGGTTTGGCACGTGCCTTTGTTGAGCCTGATTTAGAACCCCAGGGAGAGTCACCCCAAAGTCCCAGGATAAGAAGCCTTACCTCCAAAATCCCCTTTTCCGGGAAGAAGTCTCACCTCAGGGCATGCTGCAGTGGCCAGGTGAATGAGAGAGATGAGATCTTGGGTGTGGGCTGGGCACCCATGGCAAGAACTGAATTTGTGGCTGCCACCCTGAACCAGGGGCTGAGCTTTCCCTCTGGGGAGTAATCCCCTTCCAGTGTCCCTCTCCGGATGAGTAGAAGTGGCCTGCTTTTGGGAACTCCCACTTTAATGGGAGTGAGCCCCTCCTTCCTAAGAATCACCTTTCTTTTTCTTTTTTTTTTTTTTTTTGAGACGGAGTTTCACTCTTGTTACCCAGGCTGGAGTGCAATGGCGCGATCTTGGCTCACCGCAACCTCTGCCTCCTGGGTTCAGGCAATTCTCCTGCCTCAGCCTCCTGAGTAGCTGGGACTACAGGCGTAGGCCACCATGCCCAGCTAATTTTTTGTAATTTTAGTAGAGACGGGGTTTCACCATGTTGACCAGGATGGTCTTGATATCTTGACCTCGTGATCCACCCGCCTCGGCCTCCCACAGTGCTGGAATTACAGGTGTGAGCCACCACGCCCGGCCCTAAGAATCACCTTTCTAAAGAGGTCTTTAGACTGGGTTCAGGGACTGAAATTGTTTTCTCTGTGGCTTTCTCTGCCCAAACATAGACAAAACTGCTTTGCTTCTTAAAAAGCATCTGGGTATGTTAATGGTTCCCAGCTAGGCGAATGGCTTCATACCTCACAGCTTCAACATCACCGTTCTTAGAGTTTCTAGAACTGGGATTGACCTTTAGGGGCCTCTGCCAGGGTTTGCAGCGCTGACTTCTAGAGCCTGACTTGGCCTTTGGAAGAGGCAGGACTGTAGAAGGCATCAGGATCCAGGCTGTCCAGGCTGTGGTCTAGGAGCTGTGCAGAGCTGTCAGGGCTGATCTTGCCAGCAGCAACACTTCCGAGCCAGGGAACCATGAGGGTACGTTCCTAAAACGTCTCAGAGTTTAGTTTTCTCTCCTGTGAGGATAAAATGAGAGAATGCCTGTGATCATGCCCTATGTGGTGCTTGACACAAGGGGGTGCCCGCTAAAGTGCAGTGTTCTCCCTCTTCTTGGCTGCTGCTCTTGGGTTGCTGGGATAAGGCACCTGAGCCCAGGCCCCCTAAATGGCAAGTCAAGCTGCAGCAGTAGCCCTGAGGCCTCAAGGCAGAGAGCAGGGCTAGAGCCACGCTTGTGGGGGAATAGAAGAGGCCTTCTGCCCCAGGGATGAGACTGCACCTTCCCTTGGTGATGACTGGGTGGCCATCTGGGTGCACTCAGAACCTCTGGCTGCAACCACAGACAGAAAACAGCCTTGGCCTCCAGCCTTGGCTCTGATTGATGAGGAGGAGCCTCTTTATTGAGGCACCAGATCTTGGGGCTTCCACCTTACTGAGCTGTGACCCGCCTGACCAAATTGCCAGGATGAATGAAGCAAGCCTCTTTGGAATGAGCCCTACTCTGCACTATATGTTGTGTGAAGCCTTGGGAACAACCTATCAACGAGAGCTCACAGGCCACTTGCGGGGACAGGAGATACCTCATAAACAACAAATTAGTAGACACTTTGGGAAAGATAAGCACTATAGAGAAAATAAGCTGGTTGATTTGATGCAGAGTACCCGGAGGGTGTTTTATTTTTATTTATTTATTTATTTGTTTGTTTGTTTTGAGATAGAGTCTCCCTCTGTTGCCCAGGCTGGAGTGCAGTGACGCAATCTTGGCTCACTGCAGCCTCTGCTCCTGGGTTCAAGCAATTCTCCTACCTTAGCCTCCCAAGTAGCTGAATTACATGTGTTCGCCACTACACCCAGCTAATTTTTACTATTTTCAGTAGAGATGGGATTTCAGCATGTTGGTAAGGCTGGTCTCAAGCTCCTAACCTCAAATGACCCTCCTGCCTCTGCCTCCCAAAGTGCTGGGATTACAGGCATGAGCCACTGTGCCTGGCCAAAGGAGAGAGAGTGTTTTAGATTATGTGACCAGAGGAGGCCCTGGTGGGGAAGTGATACCTCATCTGAAATCTATACAACAAGCTGGGCCAGGGGGCAGAGGGAATAAGGAGTACAAAGGCCCTAGTACAGAAATGAGCTCAGGGGACTACTGGCAGAGCAGACAGCCTAGTGTGTTTGCAGTGAGACAGCCAAGGGGAGATGGCAGAAAAGAGGCCAGAGAAAGGGGCAGGCTGGGGTGGGTCACAGGGTTGTACCAAAGAGTTCCCAAGGTGTGGTGGGAATCCACTTAGAGGGTTTGATCCTATTAGTGAGACGCTCTGATTTACATGTGGGTTTTTTGGAGAAAAAATATTGGCTCATGTAATTGGAAGTCCAAGGGTAGACTTGGGGCATAGCCAAATCCAGGGAATGGAATGAAGTCATCAGATCTACTCCTTTCCCGTTTCCTCGACTCCTTTTCCTACCATCTATTGATGTCGTTCTTTTTTTTCTTTTCTTTTTCTTTTTTGAGATGGAATCTTGCTCTGTTGCCAAGCTGGAGTGCAGTGGTGTGATCTTGGCTCACTGCAACCTCTGCCTCCCAGGTTCAAGCCATTCTCCTGCCTCAGCCTCCCGAGTAGCTGGGATTACAGGCATATGCCACCACGCCCAGCTAATTTTTGTATTTGCAGTAGCGATGGGGTTTCACCATGTTGGCCAGGATGGTCTTGATCTCTTTACCTCATAATATGCCCATCTCGGCCTCCAAACTGCTGGGATTACAGGTGTGAGCCATCGCGCCAGGCTATTGACGTTGTTCTTAGTGTCTCTCTGCATGTTGGGAAAGACTGCTACTGCTCCGAAGCTACATCCTTCTGATTAATAATCCAAAGGAAAAGGAAACAAGACCCTCTCTCCTGTTGTTCATTACCAAATAACACAGAAGGTGCTAACTGGCTCTGTTTGCCAGGTCACGTGCCCATCCCTGCACAGGGCTAATGACAGAGGGAAGTTACGTGTTTTTATTACATGGATAGCGGCACATGTCTCATTTGCTCTGGAGGCATGAATTATCCCATTTCTTTAAAAAGCTATCTTCCTTAAGGGGGAAAAAAAGGCTTTTAAAAATTCTACTTAACATCAGTCACTTACATTGCATTACTTTTCCCTCACTTATTTTGCTCTCAAGATGTTTCATTCCATATCATCTTTTTTCAGCTAGACTCTGAGCTCCTTCAGAATGGGAATCATGGTTTCTTTTTATTCTCTTTTTTTTTTCTCTCTTTCTGGTTTCTTTTTATTCTCTATGCCTCCTTCTCCCACGTGTTACTCTTCACATATTTATTCATTCTGCAAGTTTTTACTGAACACCCATTGTGTACAGGCACTGTTCTAGGGCCATGCCTTTCCTCCTGGGTTAGGTTTTAAAAGATCAGTCTGGTTGCTGTGTGCAAATGGCCTGAAGGGGGAAGCAGGGGAAGGAAGGCTATTGGGTTCATCCAAGCAGGAGGTTGGGGTGCACAGATCTGAGGCACAGCCAGGGGGCGGTGGGGAGGACTCTCAAGCAGGAGCGTATGGCAGGCAGTGGGTTGGTGGTTGGAGGTGGGGCGGGGGGATGGGACTACCTTTGCTCTGCTCCATATACCTGGCAACTCCTAGAGGGTAGGGGAATGCCATCTGTCCTTCAGCCCTGCCCCCTGGCAACCCAGAAATGCCTGAGCAGGACTTGGTGCTCCTGCCTGTGCTAGGAGTGCCCTTGGCTGCTGTGGAGCCTGCACTGACCTGGGCCATGAGTACTGCCAGTCCTGGCCACCCTGCTGACTATTTTGCTTCTCTCCTCAGGTGAAGGAGTGGCTCTGTCTGAACTGTCAGATGCAGAGGGCTCTGGGAATGGACATGACCACTGCACCTCGCTCCAAGAGCCAGCAGCAGCTGCACTCCCCAGCCCTGTCTCCTGCACACTCCCCTGCCAAACAGCCCCAGGGGAAGCCAGAGCAAGAGAGATCTCGGGGCCCAGGAGGACCACAGCCTGGCTCCTGCCAGGCTGAGACAGCCAGGGCCACCTCAGTGCCGGGGTCTGCCCAAGCAGCTGCCCCTCCAGAGGTGGGGAGGGTGTCTCCTCAGCCCCCTCAACCCACCAAGCCTTCCACAGTTGAGCCCAGGCCACCTGCAGGAGAGGCCCCAGCCAAAAGTGCCACCGCAGTGCCCACTGGGCTTGGTGCCGCCGAGCAGACCCAGGAGGGCCTCACTGGTAAGCTCTTCGGCCTCGGCGCATCGCTGCTAACCCAGGCGAGCACCCTCATGTCTGTGCAGCCCGAGGCTGACACCCAGGGCCAGCCTGCCCCCAGCAAGGGGACACCCAAGATTGTCTTCAGTGATGCCAGCAAGGAGGCTGGCCCAAAACCCTCGGGCTCAGTGCCCGGGCCTGGGCCAGCACCTGGAGCCAAAACTGAACCTGGGGCTAGAACAGGTCCTGGATCTGGGCCTGGAGCTCTGGCGAAAACTGGGGGAACAACCAGTCCAAAGCATGGCAAAGCAGAACACCAGGTAGCATCGAAGGCTGCTGCCAAGCCAAAGACCATGCCGAAGGAAAGGGCCACCTGCCCACTGTGCCAAGCTGAGCTGAACGTGGGGAGCAAGAGCCCAGCCAACTATAACACGTGTACCACCTGCAAGCTCCAGGTGTGCAACCTGTGTGGCTTCAACCCAACACCCCACCTGGTGGAGGTAAGAGCTGGACCAAGCATGCTCCCTTGAGACTTGATGAGAGACCAGGCCGGGGTAGTGGGTGGCATGGGAACCAGGAAGAGTACTGGGCGTGCAGCAGCCACAGGGCAGCCCCTGCACAACTAATACTATAGAGGGACTGCATTCCCTTTCCTGTTCCTACCTCAGGCCCCAGTTCTACTCACAACTAACTTTCACTCAGAGAACTAACTGGCACAGTAGTTGGGCGTAATGGTGCCTGCTAACTCTGACTAGTGCCCTCAGGCTGATCCCAGAGTCCCTGAGCTGGCCTCCCCATTTCTAGCTACCATGGCATGTCCCTAATGAAAGACACCAACCTCCCCTGCTCAGAGGGGGAGGTCCAACACTGCCATGGATCTGTGACCCTCACAGCAGTAGGGATTGAACGGCCATGGGGCAGAGGGTTGTGTCCCATGTCCAGGGTAGGGTGGGAGCTTTCTCACAATGGGGCAGGGCATGTCCCACTGCCCAGGCTCTAGCCCAGCTAGCTGGTGTTCAACCTTGATTGTCTCTTCTGAGGTCATAAGTGTTGACATCTACTTGTCAAAGTCACAGCCTTTGGTCCACATATTTTACCCAGGCTGGGCCTGGGCTCTCCTTAGACTGCTTGTGGGGATGCTCGGAGATGCTCCTCTTTCCCACAGGATGGTTTGAGGCAGAAAGCTGGGGCCATTCTCTCCGCAGACTCTGCTCCAGGGAAGGGCACTGGGTACTGTGCAGTGCTAGGTGGGAGGGAGCAGGAGGCCCAGTGTAAGGTTCAGTGTTCCCTCGAAGCCTGGAGTCCAGCTCAAGAGGCTCAGAAGATGAAGGTGCCCTGGCAGAACCGGACCAGCCTGGGCCAGGAGCAGATGTTGCTTCTGCTCCTCCCCCAGTCCTGTGGCTCACTCTCCCCGGCCCAGGGCCACCCCTACTGTGCTGCCTTAGGCATAGCTTAGTGTGTCTGCTTCCTTAGAGTGCCCTCAGTCTTGATAGGTGAATGTGTTTCCCAGCCGTGCCACATTAGGAGTTGTTCGAGGCAAGGCCCTGGCTCTTGCACATGGGCAGCCATCTGAGGTCTCTGGTCTCTTGGGCTGAGCCATTTGTAGCTGATAGTGGGGCAGGGGTGTGCAGAGTGCAAACTATCACTGGCCCAGGATGAGACAAGAGAGGAGAGCACGGTGTTTCCATGGCCTCTGTGGCACCTTGTTCTGACTTCCTTTGGGCCAGGCCTCCAGAGGAGTCCCCATGGGAGCCCAGGGTGAGTAGGAAGACTACTTTGGCCACCAAAGGCCATGCTTTCCAATATGCAGGGAAGGGCACTCTTGAACAAGACAATTGACCTCCTCACGTGGCACCCATGTGGTCTTCTAGGCACCACAAAGCCAACTCTCCAAGCTCTAGGTCTGGTGGTTCACTGGCCACAGTTTGCCTCACTGGCTCAGGGGAAGGGTGCACCAGGATGTCACCACAAGACCAGGAGAACCCTAGCTGGTTGCTCTTCCCAGAGACCTCCAGGCATAAACTCACTGCCGGTCAGGTGAGGCACCCTGACACTGAGGGACTGTGAACCCCAGTGGACTCCTGAGTTGGTCTGGCCTGGAGGACTCCTGTCCCCAAGAGACCTCCCAGCCCACATTTCCTTATTAAGCAGAATGTGCATGAAGGGGAGGGGAAGACTGTCTCTGTCCAGGAGCATAAATATTCCTGACAGCTCTTCTTGGCAGCCCCTGGGCCAGGCCACAGGAATTGCTGATTCTGCCCAAACGGAAGAGTTTTAGTTGCACACTGAAATGAAGTGTCTGGATTCTGACCTAGGCCTTTCATTAACTGCTTGGTTCTGGCTTTCCTGGACCCTGGAGCTTCTGTCTTTTGATGGCCATTGTTCCCCCCATCACACCCCCCATGATTTCCTGCTGTCTCCATCTCCTGCTCCGCTGCCCCCTCATTAGCCAGGACCACTCTTGTCTCCACAGGTCTGATGGATCCCATGAGCCTGAAAGCAAAGCTGGGAGATGTCCTTGTCCTAGCCCTGGTCCTACCTCATCCCCAGCCTGGGCTGCTCCTGACAGCAGTCAAGGGTGATGAAATCTCTCTAACTCCTTTCTCATAGCTCTCCCTGTCAATGCTATTGTCCCCAGAAGGCCTGCGGTCCTTCTGGGGAAGGTGTGGGCAGGCGGCCATAATGCCCCTCCCATGGTTCCCACCATAGAGACTGTGCCACCATCCACCACCAGACACGCAAGCCAGCAGCCAGGGTCATCCTCCCCTCCTCCTCTCTCACTTCTGCACCTGCTCCATGGATCAAGCTCTGCCAGCTCTGCCTCCCCACTGTTAGAAGAATCTGGCCTCTCCTCTCCCACCCACGGTGACAACCTTAGTCCTTTCATCCTTAACCTCCCTTACCCACACGATGACTAAAACCTCTGTGCGACTTCACCTGCCTTGGGTCTTTCAAGGGGCTGGTGGAGAGGGGCCAGTGTTGATGTGTCCCCCATTGCTTTTCTTCACTGAGGACCCTAACCAGGCCATGGGCTGTCTTGGATCTCACCTCAGCCAATGGCCACTTGGCGTCCTGAGCAATTTTGTGCTTCCTTGTGACCTACTTTGTGTGTTCTTGGTTAGTGGTTTCTGATTTCTCAGCACTTGCCAGAGACACTTACCCTGCCTTGGGAGTGAGATGGTAAGGCCAGCAGGGCCTTCTCTGGGTCCTAAGGATGTGTCTGCCATACCTGTCTCTCTCTGGACCTTGCCAGCTCTAGAATGACTGTGCTGTGTCTCTGTATACAAAGTAAGGACAGACCAGTAGAGCCTCACTCATAGCTCCCCACAGGCCTGTTAGACCTTCCCAGGACTCCACCTTAGGCCAGAGTCAACCATCTGGGCCAATGGGTTGGGAATTTTCCCCATAGGTTGGAAATTTTCCTGAACATTTCTGAGCTGTAAAAATCTTTCTTCTTTCTAGATTGGGAGCTCAGAGCACACAATAGAGGAGGGAGTAAAACTGGGTCCTTTTCCCCTTCGAAGTTTCTTCTGAAAAAAATAACCATAGTGCTATTTAGTGAGTCATTTCATAATTAAGAGTTGTTGGTTCCAATTTTTTTACCTATTTATCTTTTAGAAGGATAATACTACCCTCTGGCTTAATTTTTAATTGACTTTCAGTTCAAAATAGAGTTTGTGAAGAAATTAGTAGAATTGGAATTGTCACAGTAACATTACCAGTTTCTTATTATATCATAATTACCAGAATTCTGGCTGTGCTCTTGACAAGTCAGGCACCCTGGGCAAAATACTTTGCACCCATGATACGTGGGGCTGGGCTTGCTTATTGGGGCAGGGGTTGCAGAAGGGGCACCAGGCCAGAGGCCCTGTTGCCTCCCATGTAGAATGGGGGCCACAATACTCCCTCTTAGGGACAGAACCAGGTTAGATGCTATACCTCAGATGCTTATGCAAGGCCTGACACAGTCAGCTCTTAAGCTTAAGGGTATTGGAACAGGAGTGTCCTGAAAGAGGGTCTCTGTGTGAAAAAGGAAGCATCCCCACGAGCTCCTATCTGGGTGTGGATGGACCCTGTGGCCAGTGCAAGCTCTTGGTATCATGAGGGATGCCCTAGAGAGAATGAACACATTTGGTCCTGGGAGGTGAGGGAGGTACAGCTCAGCCACAAGGATACACACTGGGAACACCAGGGAGGGTTTCTCTTATGGGAAGAAGAGGCCCAGAAAGAAGGAGCTTAGGCATGTCCAGGGATAGGGAGATGCAGGGTTGCAGAGTCAGGAGAGGAACAGCAGCACCAGTGATGGCCATCCCTGTGGTCCAGTGTCCTCCAGGATGACCTCTGGGCATCCTTTTCTCTGGAGTTCTCATTCACGGTCCCCTGGTCTGGCAACGGGGCTGAGGGTATGTAGGGCCAGGGAGCTGGCCATAGGGTGTTGACTGGAATGGTGTCACCATAACCATACTGGCATGTAAGCCAGCTCCACACATGAAAAGATTATGTGGACTTCAGGTTCATTTAGATGATGGCAGACAGTGCAGGATGTGTCCTGGCCCACAAGGCAAATGGCCAGTGGTCCCAGAAGGCAGCAGCTCTCACATGCCTAGAGAGCACCCCAGTTAACTCAGTCATCTCATTTCCCCTTCTTCACCCTAAATAGTGATTCCCTGAACAACTGAGCTCCATCTGAAGGCATATACACCTGCCTCTCCTACCGTTTGGTGATGATTGTCCTTGGGGGATTTGTGCCTTCCTGCCCCAGAAAGGAGCTGGACAGAGGGAGGTGAGGTAGAAGTAGTCAACAAAGCCACCCCATTATCCATCCCCTGCCCTTTTGTCAAAGAGGCCAAGCAAAGGGGTAAGCAGGCAGCACTTTCCCAAGGACTGGGGCTGGCATGGGCTGGGCGAGGCAGAGAATGAGAAGGCTGTGCAATGACTGGGCGGATGAATGAGTAACGAACACTGAAGTTGGGGAATGGAAGTGAGTGGAAGAATGAGGAAATGAACGATCGGGATGGAGGTAGGGGTATGTTGGAGTTGGGGAAAATGAGAATAGAATGAATAAAGAAATTGGGACCCCAGCAGCTGTGTCCCATCCCCCAGGCACAGAGATTCTACATGGCCTGCCTTCCACCTGATTCTCATTCCCCAGAAGACTTGGGCCTGGGACAGGTCTCCCTTGGCTCTACTCCTACCAGCCCCAGTGTGCTGTACCCTTCTTCCCCACCCCCAGAGGGCTTGGGAAGGGCCTCCAGCAGCCAGGTCAATGTTTATTTTTAGCTCTTACTTCACCCTCCTCTTCCTGCCTTATCTTCCTTCCTCACTGCCTACTATAGCAGAGCCAGGAGCAAGAGGGCCTGCCAGGCAACCTGCAGCCTGGCTGTCTCCGTGAATAAGCGTATGAAGAAGCAAAGCCCCAGGGAGCATGTGATCGCAGGTAGCATCTCTGCTGAGGGCTAGGCCTCTGGGCTCAGCCAAGCAGGTCTCTCCAGCATTCCGTCAGAGCACTTAGCATTAGGTGCCTCCTCCATCCAGACCACCCTTCCAAGGTGCCCTGCTTCATTTAGACTGTTGCTTCTGTGTGGAGTTTGCAGGCCAGAGATGGGTTTGCTAAGCCACCAAGGTGGACTAGAGCAGATAACCAAACTTGAGAGGGCTAACATGGGATGGATGTACAGGGCTCCAAAGTGGAGTGAGGGCAGCACCGCCTTGGGCCAGCCCACTCTCTGGACCTAGATCCTAAACCCATCATGCTGACCCTGGGGCTGGGGAAGGGGCTGTTTGCTCATTTCCAGAGCTCTCTCTCTTGGTCTCTGCCTGTAGCCCTGCCATCTCTCCAGGGTCATTTTGCCATCTCACAGTCCTTTCCACAGGGGAATTTCCATTGTGTACACAGGTGATGCAGGGGGCATATGAGCTAGGGTTCCTGGATTGGGCTCTGTGATCTCCCATGTTCTGTTCTTCTGGGGCTTGGTCTTAACCTATCCAGCATTCTCCCCAGGCACCTCTGTGGGTGGACCCTGCTAGGCCAAGTAAGCCCAGGGCCTGGCCAGTGGCCAGCACTTACTGCCTCATGGGGTTTTGTGTGGAGACACATTGAGCATCAGAGAAGGTCCAAGGGAGTCAGAAGTGGTGTTAGGGCTGGGCTGTGCAGGGAACATAGTGAGTATATATATGTAGGGCATCTAAAGGGTACCCCTCCTCAGCTGGGTAAGGATAGAGTCAGACCTAAGAGCTGGGAGGCACTTCTGCGAGGGTAATCAACTGCTGGACTCCATACCAGCCCGCTAGGCACTGTTTGCTCTCTCAGATTGAGACCGCAGCTTCCCCTTATGTTTAGGGCTAGGCCCTCCCATCCCCCACAGTTCTCTCCCTTTTCTGGATGGGTGAAAAGTTCTCTGTCAGTTAAGGAAAGTACTCTTCTTTGGGTTGTTACTTGCATTTTGACTTTGTACATGTTCATCTTAAGGATAAGGAAGTTTGTCATTTGGGGGCAGTAAATTGATCAGTCTTTCTCCTTATGTCTTCGGTGTCATGACTTGAAAGCCTCTCTCCTCTCTAAGGTTACAGAAATAGCCATGGAAATATTCTTTGAGTTCTTCAGTATCTTTGTAATTTTCATCAACCTCCTCTCCCATTTCCTTGCAGAAAACAGAGTGGCTCTGTCTGAACTGCCAAACCAAGCGGCTACTGGAGGGCAGCCTGGGAGAGCCGACCCCCCCGCCACTGCCCACCTCACAGCAGCCCCCTGTTGGGGCCCCTCACCGTGCATCTGGAACATCCCCTCTGAAGCAGAAAGGGCCACAGGGGCTGGCCCAGCCATCAGGCCCCCTGCCCGCCAAGGCCAGCCCTCTGCCCACCAAGGCCAGCCCTCTACCCACCAAAGCCAGCCCTCTACCCACCAAGGCCAGCCCCCTACCCACCAAGGCCAGCCCCCAGGCCAAGCCCCTCAGGGCTTCTGAACCTAGCAAGACCCCAAGCAGTGCCCTGGAAAAGAAGACTGGAGCCCCCACTAAAGCTGAGCCCATGCCGAAGCCACCTCCAGAGACTACCCCGACCCCTGGGGCTCCTAAAGTGAAGAGTGGGGTGAGGAGGGCCGAACCTGCCACCCCTGTCATCAAGGCCATTCCAGAAGCCCCCAAGGGTGGGGAGGTGGAGGTCAGTCCCATTCATTTTCCAGGGACCTTAGCTTTCAGACAGGACAGTCTATGGAAAGGCTTGCCTCCTGGGTGGCCGAGCTATAGGCCCAGGACAGGTGCCTTGGGGCCACACAGGAGGGAAGGGACACCCCAGCAGAAGGAAAGTCTAGATGAGGTTCTTGCAGTCTTGAAGACTGTGAGTTTGAGGCTACATATGGCATCTTGTTAGATGCTTTGCTGGGCTTTGATACCCTTTGATCTAGTAAAGTTTCTCTTTGAAGACCAAGGGCTGGTTTGGGCTTGCCATGGAGCTTTCAGGTTATTCAAGGCAAAAGGGAGCTAGGGTGGGTGGCAAGCCCTTGAGAAATGGAAGGACTCTTCCCTGGGGCCCTGGGATTGACAGAGAGGGTTGGGATCCCACCACAAGCTTTGCCATGGGGAGTCAGTATCTGCTTTTCACCCTGCTGCAGGACCTGGTGGGCAAGCCTTACTCTCAAGACCTGTCTCGGAGCCCACAGAGCCTCAGTGACACAGGCTATTCCTCCGACGGCATCTCTAGCTCCCAGAGTGAGATCACAGGAGTTGTGCAGCAGGAGGTGGAACAACTGGACAGTGCAGGGGTGACAGGGCCATGTCCACCCAGCCCCTCTGAGATCCACAAGGTGGGGAGCAGCATACGGCCTTTGCTGGAGGCCCAGGGCCTGGCCCCCAGTGGTGAGCAGAGCAAGCCACCCTGCAGCAGTACTGGCGAGGAACAGAAGCAGCGGCCCCACTCCTTGTCCATCACGCCTGAGGCCTTTGACTCTGATGAAGAGCTGGAGGACATCCTGGAGGAAGAGGAAGGCTCTGTCGAGTGGAGGCGCCGGAGGGAGCAGCAGGACACTGCTGAGTCCTCAGATGACTTTGGCAGCCAACTGAGGCATGACTATGTGGAGGACAGCAGTGAAGGTGGCCTGTCCCCTCTTCCACCCCAGCCCCCAGCCAGGGCAGCAGAACTGACTGATGAGGAGTTCATGCGACAGCAGATTCTGGAGATGAGTGCCGAGGAAGACAACCTGGAGGAGGATGACACTGCCACCTCCGGGCATGGCCTGGCCAAGCATGGCACCCAGAAGGGCGGCCCCAGACCCAGGCCTGAGCCTAGCCAAGAACCAGCAGCACTACCCAAGAGGCGGCTGCCCCACAATGCCACCACGGGCTATGAGGAGCTGCTCCCCGAGGGAGGCACAGCAGAGGCTACTGATGGCAGTGGGACCCTGCAGGGTGGGCTCCGTCGCTTCAAGACCATTGAGCTCAACAGCACGGGAAGTTATGGCCATGAGCTGGACCTGGGCCAAGGCCCTGACCCCAGTCTGGACCGGGAGCCCGAGCTGGAGATGGAGAGCCTGACAGGCTCCCCTGAGGACCGCTCCCGTGGTGAGCACTCCTCTACATTGCCTGCCTCCACACCCAGCTATACCTCGGGCACCTCTCCCACCTCTCTGTCCTCCCTAGAGGAAGACAGTGACAGCAGCCCCAGCCGCAGGCAGCGTCTGGAAGAAGCAAAGCAGCAGCGCAAGGCCCGGCACCGCTCCCATGGACCCCTGCTGCCCACCATTGAGGACTCCTCGGAGGAAGAGGAGCTGCGGGAGGAAGAGGAGCTGTTGCGTGAGCAGGAGAAGATGCGGGAGGTGGAGCAGCAGCGCATCCGCAGCACGGCCCGCAAGACCCGGCGGGACAAGGAAGAACTACGTGCCCAGCGGAGGCGAGAGCGCTCCAAGACACCACCCAGTAACTTGTCACCCATCGAGGATGCCTCCCCGACGGAGGAGCTGAGGCAGGCAGCTGAGATGGAGGAGCTGCACCGCTCCTCCTGCTCTGAGTACTCGCCCTCACCCTCCCTTGACTCTGAGGCTGAGGCCCTGGATGGTGGCCCCAGCCGGCTTTACAAGTCAGGCAGTGAGTACAACCTGCCCACCTTCATGTCCCTCTACTCACCAACCGAGACACCCTCTGGCAGCTCCACCACTCCCAGTTCCGGACGGCCCCTCAAGAGCGCTGAGGAAGCCTATGAGGAGATGATGCGCAAAGCTGAGCTGCTCCAGAGGCAGCAGGGCCAGGCGCCAGGGGCCCGGGGACCCCATGGTGGCCCCTCTCAGCCCACAGGCCCCCGGGGCCCAGGCTCCTTCGAATATCAAGACACTGCAGACCGTGACTATGGCCGGGCTGCTCAGCCTGCCACAGAGGGCACACCAGCCAGCCTGGGAGCAGCCGTGTACGAAGAAATTCTTCAGACGTCACAGAGCATAGTTCGCATGCGGCAGGCCTCCTCACGAGACCTGGCTTTTGCTGAGGACAAAAAGAAGGAGAAGCAGTTTCTGAATGCTGAGAGTGCATACATGGACCCGATGAAGCAAAATGGCGGCCCCCTTACTCCTGGTACCAGTCCCACCCAGCTCGCTGCCCCTGTGTCCTTCTCCACCCCCACCTCTTTGGACAGCAGCGGGGGCCTAGTTATTCCCGATGTCCGTGTCACTCAGCATTTTGCAAAGGAGCCTCAGGACCCCCTCAAGCTGCACAGCTCTCCTGCCTCCCCCAGCTCAGCCTACAAGGAGGCAGGCATGCCCTTGTCCCAGGGCCCTGGGACCCCAGCCACCGCAGCTGTGGCTCCTTGTCCCGCAGGGCTGCCACGAGGATATATGACTCCAGCCTCCCCAGCAGGCTCCGAGCGTAGTCCTTCACCGTCTTCCACAGGCCATAGCTATGGACACAGCCCAACCACTGCAAACTATGGGTCCCAAACTGAGGATCTACCCCAGGTCCCCAGTGGCCTTGCTGCAGCTGGATGGGCTGCCAGAGAGAAGCCACTGAGTGCAAGTGACAGTGAGGGTGGCACTCCTCAGCCTTCCCGGGCATATTCCTACTTTGCAAGTTCCAGCCCACCTCTCTCCCCATCTTCCCCCTCAGAGAGTCCCACATTCTCCCTTGGCAAGCTGGGCCAAAGGGCCACAGCAGAGTTCTCTACACAGACACCAAGTCTAGCCCCTGCCTCGGACAGGCCATGGAGTCCTGGTGCCCCCACCCCATCACCTATGGTAGCCCAGGGCACACAAACACCACATCGACCAAGCACCCCTCGCCTGGTGTGGCAGGAGTCCTCGCAGGAGGCTCCCTTTATGGTCATCACGCTGGCATCAGATGCCTCCAGCCAGACCAGGATGGTACATGCCAATGCCTCCACCTCCCCGCTCTGCTCACCTACTGAAACCCTGCCCACCACCCATAGCTACAGCCAGACAACACCTCCGAGTGTGTCTCAGCTACCCCCAGAGCCACCTGGGCTACCTGGCTTTCCACGGGCACCCAGTGCTGGTGTGGATGGGCCCCTGGCACTATATGGCTGGGGTGCCCTCCCTGCTGAGAACATCTCCCTTTGCCGGATCTCCTCTGTCCCTGGGACGTCTAGGGTTGAGCCAGGCCCCAGGCCCCCTGGCACTGCAGTGGTAGACCTCCGTACAGCTGTCAAGCCCACGCCCATCATCCTCACTGACCAGGGCATGGACCTCACCTCTCTTGCCGTGGAAGCGAGGAAGTATGGTCTTGCCCTAGATCCAATCCCAGGACGGCAGTCGACCGCCGTGCAGCCTTTGGTTATCAACCTCAATGCCCAGGAGCAGACCCATACCTTCCTTGCCACTGCCACCACCGTGAGCATCACCATGGCCTCGTCTGTGCTCATGGCTCAACAAAAGCAGCCTGTGGTCTATGGAGACCCCTACCAGAGCCGCCTTGACTTTGGCCAGGGTGGAGGTAGCCCTGTGTGCCTGGCCCAGGTCAAACAAGTAGAGCAGGCTGTCCAAACAGCCCCATACCGAAGTGGGCCCCGGGGAAGACCCAGGGAGGCCAAACTTGCCAGATATAACCTGCCCAACCAAGTAGCACCTCTGGCCAGAAGGGATGTTTTAATCACTCAGATAGGCACCGCCCAGAGTGTTGGCCTCAAGCCAGGCCCAGTGCCAGAGCCTGGTGCTGAGCCCCACCAGGCCACCCCTGCAGAGCTTCGGTCACATGCTCTGCCAGGTGTCAGGAAGCCACACACAGTGGTGGTGCAGATGGGAGAGGGCACAGCTGGCACTGTGACCACGCTGCTCCCTGAGGAGCCTGCGGGTGCCCTGGACCTCACAGGGATGAGGCCTGAGAGCCAACTGGCATGCTGTGACATGGTCTATAAGCTCCCCTTTGGGAGCAGCTGCACTGGCACCTTCCACCCCGCCCCTAGTGCGCCTGAGAAGAGCATGGCAGATGCTGCCCCACCTGGGCAAAGCAGTGGCCCCTTCTATGGTCCCCAGGACGCTGAGCCTCCTGAGCCCCTCACCTACCGGGCACAGGGGGTTGTGGGGCCTGGGCCTCATGAGGTGCAGAGGCCCTACCCACAGGGCCTGCCTGGTAGGTTGTACTCCTCCATGTCTGACACCAATTTGGCTGAGGCTGGCCTCAACTACCATGCCCAGAGGATTGGGCAGCTCTTCCAGGGCCCTGGACGAGACTCGGCTGTGGACCTCAGCTCACTGAAGCATTCCTACAGCCTGGGCTTTGCAGATGGACGCTACCTAGGGCAGGGCTTGCAGTATGGCTCATTCACGGACCTGCGTCATCCTACAGACCTGTTGGCTCACCCACTTCCCATGCGGCGCTATAGCTCAGTGTCAAACATCTACTCAGACCACAGGTACGGCCCACGGGGAGACACAGTTGGCTTCCAGGAGGCCAGCCTGGCCCAGTACAGTGCCACCACAGCCCGTGAAATCAGTCGCATGTGCGCTGCCCTCAACTCCATGGACCAGTATGGTGGGCGGCATGGCAGTGGTGGTGGTGGCCCTGACCTTGTACAGTACCAGTCCCAGCATGGGCCTGGGCTCAGTGCTCCACAGAGTCTGGCTCCCCTCAGACCTGGACTCCTTGGTAACCCCACCTTTCCAGAGGGCCACCCAAGTCCTGGGAACTTGGCCCAGTATGGGCCTGCAGCAGGCCATGGAACAGCAATCAGACAGCTGCTACCATCCACAGCCACTGTGCGTGCAGCTGATGGCATGATCTACTCGACTATCAACACCCCAATTGCTGCAACACTGCCCATCACCACCCAGCCTGCCTCAGTCCTGCGGCCCATGGTGCGTGGTGGCATGTACAGGCCTTACGCATCTGGTGGAGTCACAGCCGTGCCACTCACCAGTCTGACACGCGTGCCCATGATTGCCCCCCGGGTACCTCTTGGACCCACAGGGCTGTACCGATATCCTGCACCAAGTAGATTCCCCGTTGCTTCCAGTGTTCCACCTGCAGAGGGTCCTGTCTATCTGGGGAAACCTGCTGCTGCCAAGGCCTCTGGGGCTGGGGGCCCTCCAAGGCCAGAGATGCCAGCAGGGGCTGCACGGGAAGAGCCTCTTCCCACAACAACCCCTGTTGCCATTAAGGAGGCTGCAGGAGCCCCAGCTCCTGCCCCACTAGCTGGCCAGAAGCCACCAGCAGATGCTGCTCCTGGAGGTGGCACTGGGGCCCTCAGCCGGCCAGGGCTCGAGAAAGAGGAAGTATCACAGGAGGAGAGGCAGCGGAAGCAGCAGGAGCAGCTGCTCCAGCTAGAGCGGGAGCGGGTGGAGCTGGAGAAGCTGCGACAACTTCGGCTGCAAGAGGAGCTAGAGCGTGAACGTGTGGAGCTGCAGAGGCACCGTGAGGAGGAGCAGCTGCTGGTGCAGCGGGAGTTGCAGGAGCTGCAGACCATTAAGCACCATGTGCTGCAGCAGCAGCAAGAGGAGCGCCAGGCTCAATTTGCATTGCAGCGGGAACAGCTAGCACAGCAGCGTCTGCAGCTGGAGCAGATCCAGCAGCTGCAGCAGCAGCTACAGCAGCAGCTAGAGGAGCAGAAGCAGCGGCAGAAAGCTCCCTTCCCTGCAGCCTGTGAAGCACCTGGCCGAGGGCCTCCCCTAGCGGCTGCTGAGCTGGCCCAGAATGGCCAGTATTGGCCCCCTCTTACCCACGCAGCCTTCATTGCCATGGCAGGGCCTGAAGGACCTGGGCAGCCTCGTGAGCCTGTGCTACACCGGGGTCTCCCCAGCTCTGCCTCAGACATGTCACTGCAAACAGAGGAGCAATGGGAGACCAGCCGTAGTGGCATCAAGAAGCGGCACTCCATGCCACGCCTGCGAGATGCCTGTGAACCAGAATCTGCACCTGAGCCCTGCATGGTCAGGAGGATTGCTGACAGCAGCGTGCAGACAGATGATGAGGATGGGGAGGGCCGCTACCTCTTGACCCGGCGACGCAGGGCACGGAGGAGTACTGACTGCAGTGTGCAGACGGACGACGAGGACAGTGCTGAGTGGGAGCAGCCAGTGCGCCGCCGCAGGTCCCGTCTTCCCCGCCACTCAGACTCAGGCTCTGACAGCAAGCACGATGCCACTGCCTCATCATCCACTGCTGCCGCCACTGCGAGGGCCATGAGCAGTGTGGGCATCCAGACTATCAGTGACTGTTCTGTGCAGACAGAGCCTGACCAGCTGCCCAGGGTCTCTCCAGCCATCCACATCACAGCTGCCACCGATCCCAAGGTGGAGATCGTCAGGTACATATCGGCTCCAGAGAAGACTGGGCGTGGGGAAAGCCTGGCCTGCCAGACGGAACCTGACGGGCAGGCCCAGGGTGTAGCTGGGCCACAGCTTGTAGGGCCAACTGCCATCAGCCCCTACCTGCCCGGCATCCAGATTGTTACCCCAGGACCTCTGGGCAGATTTGAAAAAAAGAAGCCAGATCCCCTGGAGATTGGGTACCAGGCCCAGCTGCCTCCAGAGTCTCTCTCACAGCTTATGAGCCGCCAGCCTCCCAAGTCCCCTCAGGTCCTCTACTCACCAGTCTCACCCTTGTCCCCTCACCGGCTCCTGGACACCTCCTTTGCTTCCAGTGAGAGGCTGAACAAGGCTCACGTGAGTCCCCAGAAGCACTTCACAGCTGACAGCGCTCTCCGCCAGCAGACGCTGCCTCGCCCCATGAAGACCCTGCAGCGGTCCTTGTCTGACCCTAAGCCCCTCAGCCCCACCGCTGAAGAGTCTGCCAAAGAGAGATTCTCCCTCTACCAGCACCAGGGGGGACTGGGTAGCCAGGTATGGGAACAGGGGCTGTTCCAGGGTGGGACAGGGGTCTCTGCCTAGCCCAAGGGGCCCTCACAGGGAGGGGCTTCTTCTGGGGTGGGAGTGGAGGCATCTCTGGCTCCAGAGGCCCAGGGGAAGGAGTTAATGGCAGATGCTCCTTGGTGCACATCTGATAGAGCCTGCAGCCCGGCGGACAGCCTGGCAGATACAGACACACACATGGGCCCCCACAGCCTTCCAGCCACAAACCCCACTAGAAGCTTTAGCCTCCTCCCAGCACTGTCCCTAGTCCAGCCACTGCTACCTCCCCCTTCAGGCCTCTTCAGCTCTCACTTCTGGTCTGGACCCCTTCCATTCCAAACCTCATTCTATGGGTGTTTCCTAAGAAAATCAGTCACATGGACCTCGCAGGGCTGCTCTTGGCCTCTCAGTCCTGGCCTGGTTTCTGTTGCCACACGGGAAGCCCAGGCCCCGTGGCCTGGCACTAGAGGCTCATCCAGTGGGCTGCAGTGTGCTCTCTGCCCCAGGGTGTTCCCTGCCCCTACCTGGCCCTCAGTAAATCTCTTTACACACCTGTCTGCTCCCCTGGATAAGGGATTCAGAAGCATAAACTTAACCCTGGCTGTGGCTTTATTTGCCAGTGATGTATGGGGACTGTGAGAGGTGGCTTGGCTGTGGGCTGCAGCAGAGGTGAGAATAGGGGGTTTTGAGGGCCTAATGCCAATGACTGGGTGCCAGGCTGAGGAGGGGGGCTTTTCCTAAAGGCCCTGGAAACCTCTGGAGGTTTTAGGCCGGTGAGATGGGACAAAGCAGATATTTTGGAAAGTTTCCTGGGCAGAATGTGAGATGATGGGCTGAAGGAAGAGACCTGGCAGAGGCATCGTAAGGTATATTTGCCCATTTTCAGGGTGTGATGCAGAGGAGAAAAGTGGAGCCTTGGTTTGGGGTTGTGGAGGTGATGATCTTGGGTAGTGAAGAGTCTTGGTATATGCAGGCCATATGGGGTGGGAGTGGGATCAGGACTCTGGGCTGGCAGGGAGGGCAGGTCAGAGAGGCAGGGGGGTCCTGACTGCAGGCACAGAGGTCCCATGGGCTGGTCATGTGAGACCAGGCCGTGATAGGCACTCACGATGCGTGGCCAAAATAAGAAAAGAGAAAACAGAGTAAGGGGTTCAAAAAGCTAAATTTATTCCATAAAAGGCCCACTCTGAGATTTTGGTGGCACGCTATAATTTTTATTATGACATATGGTGGAAGTAGGTGGGAAGCTTTTAGGTAGTTAATCGGCAAGGTAAAAAGTAAGAATCCTGTAAGAGTCACTTCTCAGAATATTTTAGAATTTGGGTGGCCCCAAATTCTAAGGGCATTGAAACCCAAGGGCATGGGGCATTCTGGGAATGCCAGGAGCTAGAGAAAAATTGAGAAGGTGGAGTGAAGCACCAGGCAATGTGGACCTTCAGGCAATGCAGAGCATCTACTGCAGGCACTGTTAGGGAACCTTGGCCAGGAAGCCATGCTGCTGGAGATAGGGCTGGAGAGGCCTTAGAGGTGCACTGGTGGCTCCAGAGAATAGCAGGTTGACTGAGGGACCTGCAGGGAGCTAGGGACTAGCCCAAGAGCACAGCCCAGAGAGTTCAGCAGAGGGTGTTGCAGGGCACTAGAGGAAGAGGGTGGGCAGGTCGCTGAGAAGCATGTCACTTTAGAGAGGACTAGGGCAGGAGGCAGAATAAGACTCAGAGCCTGCCACGACTGGCATAAAGCCCGCATGTTTCCCTTCCCGTGATCCTCTAGGGAGCCTGGCGAGCCCAGGACCCTTTCCACTCCACCCCTCCTGTTCATACTCTCCACTGATCTCAACCCCTGTCAGCTGCTAGGCCCCAAACCCAGAACCACAGCTGTACTCTCCTCACCTCAATGTGAAGCAGAGGGTGACAGGCCCATTGGAGATGTGCAGGGGTTCTTGAAGCCGTGTGCTGGGCCAGTATAGGACATCAGCATGAAGGGAATCTGCCCCTACCCTCCTACTTCCCAGAGCTCTGGGAAAGAGAAGGGCTGTAAAATAATCACAGATCTTCCTTCCATGGCAAAGAAACCAAGGCCTATGGGTGGGCAGGGTAGGCCTCCAGGCTGCTTGGTAAATCAGGGTGCCAGCAGGGTGGAACCCAGCTCTTGCCCCAGCCCAGGCCTGGGTTCTGCTACCCCACACCCCATTAAGTCACCACACCTTGGGTCTCAGTGCTGCCCACCCTTCCCTCTGTCTCAGGTGTCGGCGCTGCCACCCAACAGCCTGGTCCGCAAGGTGAAGCGGACACTGCCCAGCCCCCCTCCAGAGGAGGCTCACCTTCCCCTGGCTGGCCAGGCCGCCCCACAGCTGTATGCAGCCAGCCTGCTGCAGAGAGGGCTGACGGGGCCCACCGCTGTCCCTACTACCAAGGCCAGCCTGCTCCGGGAGCTGGACCGGGACCTGCGGCTGGTGGAGCATGAGTCCACCAAGCTGCGCAAGAAGCAGGCGGAGTTGGATGAGGAGGAGAAGGAGATTGACGCCAAGCTCAAGTACCTGGAGCTAGGTATCACACAACGCAAAGAGTCTTTGGCCAAAGACCGAGGTGGCCGTGACTACCCACCCTTGCGTGGTCTTGGTGAGCATCGTGACTACCTGTCGGACAGCGAGCTCAACCAGCTGCGGCTCCAGGGCTGCACTACTCCCTCCGGCCAGTATGTGGACTTCTCTGCCACTGCCGCTGCTCCTACCACCCCCTCTGGTCCCACTGCCTTCCAGCAGCCCCGCTTTCAGCCTCTGGCCCCACAGTACACTGCAGGCAGTGGTGGGCCAGCTCAGAACGGATTCCCAGCCCACCAGGCCCCCTCCTACCCTGGCCCCAGCACATACCCAGCTGCTCCTGCCTTTCCTCCTGGCACCAGTTACCCAGCCGAGCCTGGCCTGCCAAACCAGCAGGCTTTCCGTCCCACAGGCCATTATGTAGGCCAAACACCCATGCAAACTACACAGAGCACCCTTTTTCCAGTCCCCGCTGATAGCCGTGCCCCCCCGCAGAAGCCACGGCAGACATCGCTAGCCGACTTGGAGCAGAAGGTGCCCACCAACTATGAGGTGATCGCCAGCCCCGTTGTGGCCATGTCTTCGGCCCCTTCTGAAACTGGCTACAGTGGCCCAACAGTGAGCAGTGGCTATGAGCAGGGCAAGGTCCCTGAGCTTCCCCGAGCTGGTGACCGTGGCAGTGTGAGCCACAGCCCAGCCCCCACCTACCCCTCTGACTCACACTATACCAATCTGGAGCAGAACGTTCCTCGAAATTATGTAATGATTGACGACATCAGTGAACTGACCAAGGACAGCACCTCTACTGCTCCTGACAGCCAGCGGCTGGAGCCCCTGGGGCCAGGCAGCAGTGGGCGTCCAGGGAAAGAGCCTGGAGAACCAGGTGTCCTTGAGGGGCCCACACTGCCCTGCTGCTATGCCAGAGGGGAGGAGGAATCTGAGGAGGACTCGTACGACCCCCGCAGCAAGGGTGGCCATCACCGGAGCATGGAGAGCAATGGTCGACCAGCCAGTACCCACTACTACGGTGACAGTGACTACAGACATGGGGCTCGCACAGAGAAGTATGGTCCAGGGCCCATGGGGCCCAAGCATCCCTCCAAGAGCCTGGCTCCAGCTGCCATCTCCTCAAAGCGCAGCAAGCACCGGAAGCAGGGCATGGAGCAAAAGATCTCCAAGTTCTCGCCTATTGAAGAGGCCAAGGATGTGGAGTCAGACCTGGCGTCCTACCCCTCACCTGCAGTCAGCAGCAGCCTGGTCTCTCGAAGCAGGAAGTTCCAGGATGAAATCACCTATGGGCTCAAGAAGAACGTGTATGAGCAGCAGAGATACTATGGGATGTCCAGCCGGGACGCAGTAGAGGAGGATGACCGCATTTATGGTGGGAGCAGCCGGCCCCGGGCACCTTCTACATACAGTGGGGAGAAGCTGTCCAGCCATGACTTCAGCGGCAGGGGCAAGGGGTACGAAAGGGAACGGGAGGCTGTGGAGCGACTTCAAAAAGCGGGCCCCAAGCCCTCATCCCTAAGTATGGCCCACAGCCGGGCACGGCCCCCCATGCGGAGCCAGGCCTCTGAAGAGGAGAGCCCTGTCAGCCCCTTGGGGAGGCCCCGCCCTGCCGGAGGGCCCCTCCCTCCTGGTGGGGATACCTGCCCACAGTTCTGCTCCAGCCACTCCATGCCTGATGTCCAGGAGCATGTCAAGGACGGACCTCGGGCCCACGCATATAAGCGTGAGGAGGGCTACATCCTGGATGATTCCCACTGCGTGGTTTCCGACAGTGAAGGTAATGGCAGCCAGGGGTGATTTCTGCGGATACTCAGCACCTGGGGGGCCTGCCTGTGGGGCCCTGGGCCCTGAGATGTCCCAGCAGGGGCTGGCCTGGCACTTCCTCTGGTGGGTCCTGCTGCAGGCTGCCCTTGCCTGCTCCATCTGTACCCTGGTCCCTGGTTGCGGGAGGGTGGGCTGGGGGCCTGCTGATCCGCTTGTGGCTGTGGCACCCACTCTCTTGGTTTCTTTGCATGGCTTCAGCTAGGCCTCCCCCTGCGGCCAGCCCGGGGGTTGATGGTATTCTGTTTTTGGTCTCTGAAGCGTATCACCTGGGCCAGGAGGAGACGGACTGGTTTGATAAGCCCCGGGATGCCCGCTCTGACCGGTTCAGGCACCACGGGGGCCATGCAGTTTCCTCCTCCTCCCAGAAGCGAGGCCCTTCCAGGCACAGCTACCATGACTACGATGAACCCCCTGAGGAGGGCCTGTGGCCTCACGATGAGGGTGGCCCAGGCCGCCATGCCTCAGCCAAGGAACACCGGCACCACAGTGACCACGGGCGGCACTCAGGCCGCCACACTGGTGAGGAGCCAGGACGGCGTGCTGCCAAACCACACACTCGGGACTTGGGTCGCCATGAGGCCCGGCCCCACTCTCAGCCCAGCTCTGCTTCAGCTATGCCGAAGAAGAGTCAGCCTGGCTACCCCAGCTCTGCTGAGTACTCACAGCCATCCCGTGCTCCCTCCGCATACCATCATGCCTCTGACAGCAAGAAGGGCTCCCGACAAGCCCACTCTGGGCCCGCTGCACCGCAGTCAAAGGCAGAACCCCAGGCGCAGCCACAGTTGCAAGGTCGGCAGGCAGCTCCAGGGCCACAACAGTCACAGCCACCATCATCCAGGCAAATACCCTCTGGGGCAGCATCGCGCCAGCCACAGATGCAGCAGCAGCAACAACAGCAGCAGCAGCAGCAAGGTCTTGGGCTGCAGCCCCCACAGCAGGCCCCGACGCAGGCTCGGCTGCAGCAACAGAGCCAGCCAACCACCCGGGGCTCAGCCCCTGTTGCCAGCCAGCCTGCAGGGAAGCCTCAGCCAGGCCCCACGACAGCCACAGGCCCTCAGCCAGCAGGACTGGTAAGCAGAGCTCCCGTACATGGGTTATAACCAGGGCAGATGCTACGAATGAAGCTTGGGCATCCCCTTGGTTCCAGGCTGGGCATGGGCAGGGTTGATGGGCAGAATCTCAGCTATAGGTTCTGTGTTGCAGCCACGGGCAGAACAGACAAATGGCTCTAAAGGGACAGCCAAAGCTCCGCAACAGGGAAGGGCTCCTCAGGCCCAGTCAACACCAGGACCTGGACCTGCAGGTGAGCCTATCCTCTGACATCCTTGGCTATGGCCCATAGCACAGAACCCAGGCTGTTCTCTCTCTACACCACCTGCGCCCTGAGCTCCCCCACACTACATGCCCTTACTAATCCCTGAAGAGGTACCCCACGGGCTGTGGACCTCCCCAGAAGAAAACAAGCCTAGGGTTAGAATAAGCCAATGAGGTCACCAGCACAGGGGCTTTAGGGCCCAAGCAGCTCTGGGCAGAGAAGCTGGAAGGCACTGGTGAGCACAGGGCAGGGACCATGGCTTCTTGCTCCCTCCTTCCTTCGCCTTTCCTCCTCTCCTCTGCCTTTGCTTCCCTTTCTTCTTTACCTTCCTCAACCTCCTTTTTTCTGCCTCCTCCCACCCCTTGTTTTCCTGTTCTTTCCTTCATCTCTTTATTCCCATAGCCTCCTTCTCACCTTCCCACCTCATGGGGTAGCTGTGTTCAGATTCCCTTGTGGCTACTTGTACTCTCAGACCCTGAAGAGCCAGGCCATGCATAGTTCATGAGGGTGGTTTCTTTCCTCCTAGGTGTGAAGGCTGCAGCAAGGCCTGGAGGAACCCCAGGGGCTCCTGCCAGCCAGCCAGGTGCCGAAGGGGAGAGCGTGTTCTCCAAGATCCTTCCTGGTGGGGCAGCCGAGCAAGCTGGCAAACTGACGGAAGGTATGCACTGCCTGTGACTGGGTCTGTGGTGGGTGGCTGCTCTGGGGCCTGCTCTGGTGCAGGCTGGGTCTGTGAGATGACTTCAGACTCAGTCACTCAGGCACAGGGAAGGGCTCGTCACAGGAAGGCCAGCCGGAGGGCCCACCTGCTGATGCTTGGCTTCACTATGCCAAGTGGCCCTGACTGGGAGGGGTCTGGCCCAATTTCCTGATGCCTCTCTCCTCTTTCTATGTCACAGCTGTTTCTGCTTTTGGCAAAAAATTTTCCTCATTCTGGTGACCATGCCCAGCAGGGTGAGTACGAGCAGCCTGTACCTTGCCTCTTCTGGGAAAGGCCCCAGGCAATGTGGGTGGGGGTGGGGCTCTAAGTCTGAAGGGTCCTCTGGGAGGAGTCCAATCTTCTGCTGGTGCTGTGGCTGGAGATGCAATGTTCTCTTCTCTGAATGTGGGAGGAGAAAGAGGAAGGACACTGTGCACAGAGCCCCTACCATGGGGCCAACACAGTAGAGGCCCCCAGCAAAGGAGGGGCCAAAGCCAAGGCTGATGCCCCCTTGTCTTTCAAACCATCCGCTATCCCCTGCAGGGCTCTCACAACACTGGGCTGACACTGGATTGTAGGTAGGGTCCCTGGCATGCAGCTCCTCTCCAGCCCTCCTCTATAAATGCTCCACAGGCTCTTGAAGAAATGAAGACAGTTATCATTGCTGTGGAAAAATCTCTGGAGTCAGAGGCCAGGGCGCAGCTCTGGACTCTGCGTATAACAGTGAGTATCAGGAACAGGGTGAGATGCGCCAGAGGAGGAGTGAAGGGCCAAGGCCTGGCAGACAACAGCTAGTCAGTTCCAACAAGTGTGAACTGGGAAGGGCCTGGTGGGCTTCCTTCAGCTGTGATGGGCCCAGCAGCCCTCCATCCTCGCAAGAGGCGGGGGCCACAGAGCTCCCTGAGATGGTGGCACATGAGTCAGGTGGCACCCCTGGAGAAGAGCCCAGCAAAGCCAACTACACCCCACGACTTGAAGTCTATGTGCCGGACACTGAGTTCAAAGTCCGGGTGGTCTGTGGCTATGTGCTGGGCACTGAGTTCAAATGACAGGGTGGTTTGTGGTTCCTGTGGGGGAACACGCCTCTTCCCTGATGTCTGCTACTGGTGCCTTTGCTCCAGTCAGTTGGAAGAGATTAGAGTCCCCAAACCCTGCAGAGCTGCATGTGCAGCTCTGGGAATGAAGTCAAAACACTCCTGGCTTCACAGGCTGAGCCTGTGGCCCACAGGATAGAAGAGTGGAAGGAGTAGAGAGGCAGACAGGAAGGGACATAGAGGAAAGGGAGTCTCAGTCTCAGACTAGGTCAGCCTAAGGATAGGACAGAATGGCCTCAGGATGGGAGCCCTGGCCCTGTCTGGGCTGCAGTGGCCAAGGCAGGATGAGACACCACTTCCTGGACCCTGCCCTGGCCCTGGCCTTGGCCCTGCCTCTGTGGGAGGAGGAGAAAGTGCATCATCCTGGGTGGGAGGAGAATCACCTGGCTGTTGGTGTGGCTCTGTGCATAGCCAGGACCACCGACCACTGTCCTATACCCCTTTGGCCCTCCTCTTCTCCCTCCTTCCCACTTCAGGGTGCTTCTCATGGTGCACAGGCATGTATGCGGTATCCATGCAGGGCCTGGTGGTCAGTGAGCAGGTCACTTCAAGGGAGCCCTGGGGCCAGCAGATGCTGGGCCCAGGCCAGCCCTGGGTGTGGGAGGGAAGGAGCTAGGTGTGGTACCTCACAGGCTACCTCTCTGGAAAAGCAGTGGGACCCTGGAAAGGCCCAGGCTTCCATCCATTTATTTAACAAATGTTCGTCAAGCCCCAGGTATGTGCCAGGTGCTATTCCAGGCTCTAGGGGTGTGGCAGAGAACAAAACCAAGACCTTGCCCTCTGAAGCTGACAATCCATTAAAGGAGATAGAGAATAAATAAGTTTAAAAATAAAAATTCAATTAAAAAGGTACTTTCTGAAAGTGATAAGTATTTTAAAGCCAGTGAAGCAGAGCTATGGAAGCAGTGAGGTCTGCTCTAGATAAAGTGCTGAGCTGAAGGTATGTGAGGAAAGGCGTGAGGGAGGAGGACAGCTGCTGTGGGATGTACAGAGGGGAGGGAACAGCACTGACGGATGATTGGATGCTAGGACGGGACTGGGGGGCACCAGGGACAAGGAAAAGGTCAGCACAGCTAGGGCCACAGTGGAGGGGAGAGGTGGTCAGGGGTAAAGTCCAAGGCGGTGGGACTCAGCTGGGGTGGGTTGTGCAGGCCAAGTAAGAAGCCTGGAATTTCTTCTAATTACAGTAGCATAGTGCAGCCCTCAGCGTTCTTCCTGCCTTCACCCTCTCACAGTGGGCTTCCTGCAGCTTCCTGCTCAGCTGATGTTTCCTTGGAGTTGCCCTGGAACAGATGTGAAATCAGAAGTGGTGCTGAGAGGAGGGGAAGAAGGGGCAGCCCATGGCCTGGATTCATGGCAGTACCTACCTTGGGTTTGGGGCCAGGGTGTGGTTCTTGAGGAGGCAAAAGCAGCACAGACACAGCTTTGTTCTGCATCCTGCCACATGGTGTGGAGGGGCCACTGAGACCACTGACTTTGTAGTTAAAGAAATCTCCCTTGAGTTCTAGCATTTGGCTAATGATTGGGTCAAGTGGACAGTGCTGCTGTGAGTATCCCTTTCCTGGAGTTCTTTATAGCAATTTCAGAGATGGGCTTGGAAAGGTGTGCCATTGCAAACCAAATTCCATCTCCATCACTCTCAAGCAAAAAAAAAAAAAGGAACTTTTGTTACATTAAAAGAAGTGTCCCTTCCTGGCTGACCTGATTATTCTTTCTTCCTGTCCTCTCTGTGACCTCCAACCTGCCCAAGCACCCACCTCCTGGGCCTGAGTGGCAATGGTACTCCGTGGGTGAGGAGGTGGCTGCTGGCACAGGCAGATGGCTGAGAGGTGTGTGAGGGTGGGAAGCAGCTATCTATGGTTCTTGACAGAATCCTTCTTTCTTTTCTTTCCTTCCTCCCTCCCTCCTTTTCTCTTTCAAGCATCTACAATCTGGCAAACCCTTGGCCCAAAGACTCACCAGGTGGGACGTGGCAGGCAGGCCTCAGTTGAGGATGCGATGTTTTCTCACAGCAGCTGTCTGGGTGAAGCATCTGCTGGACAAGTGGCACCAGTGGCCGGGGGACCTTTGATTGTTTTTCCAGAGACGCTGCTCTCCACAGGGCACCACTTTCAAGGCACAGCCCTCGTTGGGAGGGAGGACCCTCTCCAGAAACCCGGCCACAACAGTATCTTGCCGTACTTCCCACAGCCTCCTCTTTGCAGCCTGGCCAGCCAGGCTTCCAATGCGTTATACACAGAGTTTGGGCGCACACTGCCCTCCCTCCGAGATGCCAGAAGTTTTTCCACAGCCTTGGAGAGGGGCTTTGACTGAGGGCTGGGGGCCCCAGGCTCCGTTTCCTTCACATTCCAGCTGGCCCGGATCCCTCTGTGGCACAGGGCCCTGCCCCCGTCACCTGCCCTCTGGGTGACATCGGAGCAGACCTCCATGTGGCCAGCATGGGGTTGGGAGAACTTTACAAACATTAGGACCTAACACTGTCTCATCGCTGAAATAAGAGGCCGTAGCACCGAAAAGCAGCGTGGGCACTGGCTGAGGCTTCTCCCAGCCCGTGGGTGGCAGTGTCCTAGAACACTGCCACCATCTCAAAGCCATCCCCCTAGCCATCGTGAGCATCCCAGCGGCACCGCCATTGTCTCAACCAGCCGGCTCCTCGTCCATACACCTGGGGATTTCTTTTGATTTCAAGAACAGCCTTAATCATTCCAGTTTGATTTACGTGTATACCTCATAAACATTTTTCTTTTGTTTCTCTCTCCCACTTTCTCTCTTCTCTTGGCTCACCCCTTGCCTCTCCCCTCCACCACCACTTTGTGACTGATGGTTCGGTTTCCTCTCTGCTCTGCCCCTGCTCAGCACAGGGAGAATGTTGACTTAGAAGCAATAGGGGGCAGCAGGCCACCAAGAGCACAACCCCAGGGCGAGGTCTAGGGAGGTCCCTTAGCCCGCCTCTGTTTACTGTGCAATTCCAGTCCTTCTTAAGCCATCACCAGTGGGTGTGCTCAGAGCAGAGTGGCCAGGCTTCTGCTAGCCAAGGGAAAGGCCCAGGGCCCTGTGTGGGGGAGTGTGCCACTGTCTATCCATCTGGTGGGCTGGGCTGCATTCCTCCCCAAGGCCCTTCCCTTGGGGGCCTCCCTTCATCTTGGGCACAGCCACAAGTCTCATCTCTAACGTTCTATGCAATGAAATATAAACCCTCAATTTTGACAACTGTTAATATTTAATAAATTCCATGTTATGTATAAGGAGTTAATTGCAAACATGTAATTGAGAAACTGGATAGATACACTCATATCACCCCCAACCCCCACCCCACCCCTGCTCCCATTGTGTGTGTGAAATTCTCAGTCTGTGGCATGTTTGACCTGTGGCAGGACTCGCTGCTGCCAGGTGAGTCACCGCCTGTCCCGCAGTGGAGCATGCACAGCTCGCAGCCTCTTTGCACGATTTCATCCATTTTAAATGCTCGACCCTGTTGCTTGGAGTTCTTTTTGCCTCAGAACCTCTCCTTCAGGAGCACTTCTAGCTGACTTCTGCACAAGCTAGTAAGGACCTGCCAGAATTGTTGCCTGAGCGTGCCAGACTGCAGGGCAGGTAGTTCAAGGCCCCACACACCCTGCAGTTTTCTCTGTCCAGGATAGCAGGTAAAAAGGAATCCCCAGAGCAGATGCAATGGTAGGAGCCTGAACAGGATGCGTGTGTATGGACATGGACATTCTGAAGGCTTGCTGTAGGATTTCTGTCTGTCATTTTCCCTTCCTACCCCAACCCTGAGCCATAGGCATCTGCTAGCCCTTTCCCAAAGGGCACTAGTCAAGGGCAGAGCTGGGCAGCATCCATGGCCAGAGAGGCAGAGATAAGACCAGAGCCAGGTTGTGCCTCAGGGACCCCAGCTCTTGACTGCACCTGTTCCATGCCTCTCCTCTGTGGCTAAGAGGCTCAAAGGACTGTGAGCCAGGAGATCTGGGCTGGAGCTAGGGGGTCAATGGATGCTCAGGAAGAACAGGGCCTTTGGCACTTGTGGTGAGAACAGTTGACAATGGTCATCTGGAACTGTGCATATGAACAGTGGCTTCAAGCTAAGTTTCTTGTGAAGTTTCTCAGTAGCAAATCTTATAGAAGGTCCTGTGTGACCCTCTCGGCATCTGTCCCTAGGACCCTATGCTCCCTGCCCACCCCCTTCTCCAAAGCCCAAGCATCCCACTGCTCATCAGTTTTTCTACCACTGAGCCAGGAGTACGGCAGGTAGTAGCTGCCTGACCCCTCAAGGCCTGACCTTTGTCCAGAGTGCTCTGGTTTGCACCATGCATTTCTCAGGGGTCCGCATTTCTCATGCTTTTTTAAAAGGTCTACACACCCCTTCAGTGAGGGCTCCTGGCTCACCTCTGGAAGCAATGGATGGGAAAGGAAGCTGCCAACCTCTGTGTTGGACTTAACACCCTTGCCTTCCTGGGACTTGGCCTCACTCAACCCATGGAATATCTTCCTCATCCCAGAGATCAGGTATGCGCTGAATGAGGCCATCTGAGCGAGGGCTGAGGGAAGACATCATCTAACACCTCTGGCCGCCCAGGACCAGCTCTGTGTGGGGATGTGCCTTGGAGACCAAGGCAATCATCCTTTCCACTACAGGCCAGGGGATGGGACAAGAAGCAAGGAATAGGCAGGGAAATGTTAGGGAGTCAGAGCCTCCAGTAGGCCTAGTCTCAGGCTCTAAATTACTGACTTTTCCGCAAATTTCCTTTCTGGCCAAGCCCTCTGAGTTTGAAATTTGACAGCTGTCACTCCTCATTCCCCACTGTACCCCCAGGATACATCATTGGCCCTCTGTGAAGGTGGCTGGAGCAGGCCTCTGGTCCATGGACTATCCTTCCTGGCTCCTGCATGGATGCAGTTGTGACTCTGGGGACAATGCAGCCAGAAGCTGAGGGACCAGCATTCGGTGCCTTGGGAAGTAGAGAGCAACAGACACATCTCCAAATGAGTCTCTAGCATGCAGCCCAGGCTTTCTCCATACCCCTCTTCCCAGCATCATGAGCAAGGGCATTGCCTCCTCTCTCTGCCCACTTCAGGGCCTAGTGTACTCACTTCACAGTGACAGCCCTCCCCTCACCACCATCCTCTTAGTCCTTGGGCTAGCATGTGGTCTCAGGGCCCACAGTGAAAGAACAGCAGTGGTGGCAACTATGCCCTGTCTTCTGGAGCCTGTAGGGAGTTTTCCAGGCAGGTCCTTTGCCATGACAGCATGGTCCTGCCCTGTTGCCCCCTCCCCTCTCCCCTTACCCACGCCCATGCTGTAAATACTTGTCATCATGGACTCCAACAGGGGTAGAGGGACAGGCCTAACCAACTGAAACTCCTCAGAGATGCCATCTCTGTCTCCCTGGGTGCCAGCAGCCCTGCTGCCATGTGCACTGGGGTGGCACTGGAGAGCCATGGAAGTGGTGAGATATTTTATGTGTATGCACATGATCATGTGTGTATGTGCGTGTGTGTGTGTGTGTGTGTGTGTGTGTGTGTGTGTGCGTTCCTGCCTCATTCAGTTTCTGGGGTCAAATCAACTCCTTCTCTCCAAGTGCAGTATCCTGGAGAGTGGTGGCCACTCAATACCTTTTCCTCTAGCTTTCATGTCTTTTTTTTTTTTTTTTTGCTTTCCCCTCCTCCTCCCTCTCTCCCTTTCTTTCCTTCTCTCCTTTATTTGAGGGGGGAAGAGTGCTGTACAAAGTCAAACAAACAAGTTTACAGTTGTAAGTGCAATGACCCGAGTCCTCCACATGACCTTGTGAATTGTGTGCTGTCCTCCTGTGCTCTGTGAGAACTCGTGGTACTTCAGTGTCCCTCCCCCTGTATTGTGACAAGGTAATTCTGTGGTATCAGAATAAAAGGACTTGATATAAACAACCTACAGACTGTTTCTGGGATGGTTTCTTAACTGGGAAGGCTTAGCGGAAGGAGCAAATTGCCAAATTTGCAACAATCCTGTCTACGGCTAAAGAGAAAAGGATAGACAAAGTTGCAGAAATGCTGGCACAACACAGGGCTGAGTCCACAGCAAGCCATCCAAAGAAAATGGGCCCTACACAAAGGTGCCCAAGTAGAGGTCCCAAGCTTGGACCTGGATCAGGCAGTCAGTGCGCAGGCTGCTGAGGGACAGTGCCTCCATAGCCTTTAGTGTGCTGGCTGCACACACAGCTTTCGGGGGCCTGGTTCCGGGGAGGCAGTGAGCAAGTGCTGCCCCCTGGTGCTGCCAACAAGCCCTGCACCTCTCTGCCTTGCTCCGAATTTTCCAACCCCTAAACTCTTGCTGGCTGCCACACCTTAGGCCTTCCTCAGATGGCCAGGAGTACCTCCTTACCAAAGTCACCCAGAATTGCTAGATTTTTTTAAAAAACACAGATAAACAAGAATCCCAGCTTCACCTCTGGTCCTCTCCCCAGAGTTAACATCTTGACGAATGTGCTTCTTTCCTGTTTCTTGCTCCAGTCATTTTAAAAAGAAGCCAGAAGGTGCAATATATCCTGGTTCTAGCTTTCTGTTTATTTCCACATGTTTATTTCAGGTACTTAAATGTTCGTCTTGCAGTGCCCAACCTCCAGAGTTCGTACACCATGAGTTCGTAGCCAGTCTACCGCACACAACCTGAGGAACAGGCACTATATTCCCAGAGTTCCTATTACAAATGATGCTTGATGAACATCCTAGTTTCCAATCTTTCCACCCAAATTGGTGGCTGGGGCCACTCATTCTACTGTTTCTGGCCTTGATACCAGTCCTGTACATACGAATGCAATGGCATCAGAAAATTGGGACTCTTAGTATTTTGTTGTTGTTGTTTTGAGACAGAGTTTCACATTGTTGCCCGGGCTGGAGTGCAATGGCAGGATCTCAGCTCAGTGCAACCTCTGCCTCCCAGGTTCAAGCAATTCTCTTGCCTCAGCCTCCTAAGTAGCTGGGATTACAGGCACCCCCCACCATACCTGGCTAATTTTTTTTTGTACTTTTTAGTAGAGACAGGTTTTCACTATGTTGGCCAGGCTGGTCTCAAACTCCTGGCCTCAGGTGATCCACCCACCTCGGACTCGTAAAGTGCTGGGATTACAGGTATGGGCCCCATGCCCGGCTGAGACTTTTTTTTTTTTTTTTAAACTAATAATCTTGAGTAAGTAATGATGACGCTGATGGGAAAGGGGAAGCTGCAGGTCAGACAGGTGGAATCTCAATCCCCAGCACGCAATGGAGCAGGGAGCCAGGGCCCTGAATGTAGAAGACCAGCCAGACTGAGGTATACGGAGGGGACATCCTTACTGTCCAGCCTCTCCTGCTCTCTGCTGCCATCTTAGCCCAGCCAATCCTGTGCCACGTGCACAGGGAGCCTGCCTACCTCGTTTCTTTCCCCAGGAAGCTCTCTGGTCCTGAGTGGAGTCTGAGCCCACCAGGCCCTCCACAGCCAAAAGCTCAGGCTAAGGCCTGGGGAGGAAGGCAGGGACCCACCAGCTCATGGTCCCCAGCAAGGAGCCACTGAGAAGGGTGGGTAAAGGCTGCGGGGATAGATAGCTCTTGGGGCAGGCCTGGTGACTGATAAGCCCAGGTAGCACCCTGAGAGTAAACACCCGCCCCTCTTTTCCTGGCACCCTAGGGTTCTGCTCTGCGTCCTCTGCCCGGACTCTCGCCCTTCCCTTCGTCTGCCTGGGAGTCCTCCAGGGCAGGGTCTGGCACAGTCTGGTGAATGTCTGACTCGTAGTGGACTGGCAGGTACCCTACAGTCAGCCCCAGAGCCACGGGAGATCCACTCTGCGGCCCGCTCCCCACTGCCTCGCCCTCGCCCTCGCCCCCGTCCCCGTCCCCGCCCTCGCCCTCGCCCTCACCCTCACGGGCTCCAAGCTCCGCATTCCTCGAAGGGCTCCGTGCCCGCCCCGCCCTTCATCCTCAAAGACTTGTGAGTCCCATTCCCCTCGGACCCCGCCCTTCGGGTGCTAGGGCCACCCCCATCCAACCACGCTGCTTCCACCTCGCAACCCCGTCTCACCCGCTTCTCTCGTAGGCCCTTCTCCCCTCCCCGAAGCCCCGCTCCCGGGTTCCGCTTCCACAGGGCTGCCCCTCTCCTCCGAGATCCCACACTCGGTAAGGGGCCCGGGACTCGGCCCCGGGACTCGGCCCACGGCCCCACCCACCACTTAGCTAGTTCGCCCCTTGAAGGCCACTCCCTCTCCAGGCCCCTGTCCCCTCCCACTCAGGACTTATCGCTCCCAGGCCGGGTCCTCTCACCCTCAAGGCCCGCCCCCTGTCAACGGTTCTCGCCCTTTCGCCGAAGGCCCCGCCCCTCCCAGATTGCCGCAGGGCAAAGGCGGAGACAGCCGGGGCCGCCCCAGGCTCCGCCCCCGGAAGCCTCACTTCCGGGCGCGAGCAAGCCTCGCTTCGCCTCAGCTGCAGAAAGGAGACTATGGAACGTCAGGTGAGGGCTCTGCCCGCGGTCCCTGTGGTACCTGCAGACCGGGCCGGGCCTGACCCTGATGTGTCCCCTGCGCAGGTGCTGCTGAGCGAGCCCGAGGAGGCGGCGGCGCTGTATCGGGGCCTTAGCCGCCATCCCTCGCTGAGCGCCGCCTGCCTGGGCCCGGAGATCACCACGCAGTACGGTGGCCAATATCGGACGGTGCACACTGGTGTGTGTGCGGAGGGGACCTGGCTGGCGACGGGCTTGCGCACTGGGGTGGGAAGGAAGGGGGTGTGGAGGACTCGTTGCTTGACAGTGCGTACGGGTGTGTAGGGAGCCGGCCTAGGCTTGGAAGATACACAGGTCCCTGCATGCAGGTGTGGGGGGCGGGGCGGGGCCAGGGGCGTGCGGGGAGTTACCAGATGGCCCCTATGAGTGCACGAGATGACAGTGTAGCGGTAGAACTCAGACCTAGGGTCAGGGCTTGGGCCTTGTAGGTCTATACGCAAACCACTGCATCCCATACAATCGTGCCAGGCTGCCCTCAAGAATCCAGGGTGGGTGCTGGTGTTATTAGTGGGTTCTCTCAAAAAGGCTGTCAGCTCAGGCTCTGGAGACCTGGACCAGGGTTGTGGCCAAGTGTCCAGCCTGCAGCCAGGGTAGGGTGTTGGTGTCTGGAGACAGATTGGGGAAGATAGATCTAGGCCTTCCTGGGTCAGGTGGGGTCGGGGGGAGTAGCCAGGAGTAGACAAGACCAGGTGAGCAGCCTCATGCCTCCCCTCACAGAGTGGACCCAGAGGGACCTGGAACGCATGGAGAACATTCGATTCTGCCGCCAATACCTGGTGTTCCATGATGGGGACTCAGTGGTATTTGCAGGACCTGCAGGCAACAGTGTGGAGACCCTGGGGGAGTAAGTTTGAGGGAGGAAGCTTGTGTGCAAGGCCACAGCCATTCACAATGCAAGCCTTTTATGAATGCCCACCATGTGCCTAGGAGGACCAGGATCGAGGTTCTTGCCCCCTTGGGAGCTCATTCAGTCTCTGGTGACATGACCTGATAAGCACTGGAGGCTTGCTCCAAACTCAGCCTGGACTAGAGCCCCCGGTGGCCTGGGGAGCTGGGGAGAGTAGAGTCTCTGCCTCAGGGAGGAAAGGCAAGGTGGGGCTAGAGGTGCTCCAGAGCTGGTGTGGAGCCTGAGCCTCAACAATCTCTCCTAAGAGGTTGTGGCCAGTAAGGTGGCAGGACGGGGTTACTGCAAGATAATACTGACCTGCTGCCCCATGTCCGCAGACTACTGAGCAGAGAGTCTCCTTCAGGCACCATGAAAGCTGTGCTGCGCAAGGCTAGAGGCACAGGCCCTGGGGAAGAGAAGCAGTTCCTGGAGGTGAGTCTGCATGGGACCAGGTAGTGGGTGACTAGAGAAAGGCTCTGCCCTGCAGATAAGCCTCTGTTAGGGGGCACAAAACCTAATGCCCCGATGTCCTCAGGTCTGGGAGAAGAACCGGAAGCTCAAGAGCTTCAACCTGTCAGCTCTGGAGAAACATGGGCCTGTTTATGAGGATGGTGAGGCACCTGGATGGTGAGCAGGCAGGGTGAACAGGAGGGGTAGCCGTAGCCCTGGGCCCCCCCTGATTGGCCCTGCCTACATCCAGACTGCTTTGGCTGCCTGTCCTGGTCGCACTCGGAGACACACTTGTTGTATGTGGCAGAGAAGAAGCGCCCCAAGGCCGAGTCCTTCTTTCAGACCAAAGCCTTGGACGTCAGTGCCAGCGATGATGAGATAGCCAGGCTGAAGAAGCCAGACCAAGCCATCAAGGTGCTCGTGGTCGTGGCCAATCCACGAAGGCCCAGCAGGGCAGCCCTGGGGCTCAGTATACTTCCTTCCCATACTGTGCCTGTCAGACCCGGGGAGCACTGGCTTCTAGGAAGCGGAGCAGGTCCTGTAGACAGGCTGGGCATTGAGTATCTTGTGTTCTCAGGGGGATCAGTTTGTGTTTTACGAAGACTGGGGAGAAAACATGGTTTCCAAAAGCATCCCTGTGCTCTGTGTGCTGGATGTCGAGAGTGGCAACATCTCTGTGCTTGAGGGGGTACCTGAGAATGTGTCCCCTGGACAGGTCAGCAACAGCCTATGTCCCTCCTGGTGTCTGGGGCCCTTCTCGAGCTACCACCCCTTGCTCACTCCTGCTCTGTGACCTTGTTTACAGGCATTCTGGGCCCCTGGAGATGCCGGTGTGGTGTTTGTGGGCTGGTGGCATGAGCCCTTCCGGTTGGGCATCCGCTATTGCACGAATCGCAGGTGAGAGAGTGGGGCAAGGCAAGGGGCCTTGCAACCCAACTGGCCTTGAGACTGAGTGTCTGTCTGGCGGTTCCAGGTCAGCCCTGTACTATGTGGACCTCATCGGGGGGAAGTGTGGTAAGTGGCTGATGTCCACTTATGCTTTGCTGACACACATTGGCCCTGCTGGCCT